ACTTTTCTTGTTATAAATCCACTCTGATCCTGTATGTCAGGGGTCCTTAAACTTGTTTCTTTAAGGTCCACATAAATTTGCCTTTTCTCTGGCAGGGTCTGTCTGTAACAGAAAATAACGTGCTGGAGTGACTACCGATATTATCTTGGAGATGGATTTTATCCCAGGAGATTTTATTTTGATTATATATTTGCTATGCCTAATGATGCTAGATTAGTTTATGATATTGTATTATAGGTATTTGTTTATTATGCCTAATGCTGGATAAGGTTATTATTTTGTTATGCACTTTAGCCTACTGACACGTGGGGATATGTAGCCTATTTAAGAGCATTATTAGTTCCATAATTACTACTTATATTCATATTCACCAGTGTGAACTGTGTGCCTGCATCTGGCTGCTGAGGAGTTCAATGTTAGGTTCCATTCTAGTCACAGCCAGTCTCAAAGACTGATGCACATGTTCATCAGTAAGCCTTGATCTCATCGGAGTTTTCAGTAGTTTCATGTGTGAAAATGTTTGCTCAGATATAAGTGCTGCCAAAAAGTTTGGCCAGCTCTGACCAGCCAAGATCCAACTCTTCCATGGCTTGGCACACTTTACCGTAAATATCCTCCCCTGTAGTTGTACCTTTGAGACTTTGGAGGGCTGCCAGCTCCTCGGACACTTCAGAGTTTGCGCCAACTCCACAAATAAAAATGAGCAGATGTGCTGTGTCCTGCAAGTCATTGCTCTCATACATTACCCCCATTTCTTCAATTTGTCTAGTGATTGTACTCACCGACAGACTCACTGCATTGAAGACATCTTTCTTATTGGGGCACACCTCCTCTGCGACGGCACTCATACAAATTTCTCTACAAACTCAACCTGTTAGGTTGGGGTTGTGTCTGTATTAAATGGACAATGATGAAATCGTGAAACAGACTGTGGATCATTTAGGATTTATTCAGCCATGGTCAGACAACATAGAAACACAACACACATGGCTGACCATCACTGACCCATGCTGACCAAGATCTCACAATCGCTGGCAATCATTGACAAAGTCTTCATCTTCACAGTGTTGCTTATATTCTGCTAGAAGGTACAGCCCACAAATTCTTGTCCGCTTGGATATATCTCTAAAAGGCTAGAAAGAAGACATCACCTTGACTCGTAAATATAAGACATATACATTTCTTCAGTCTCGGAGTCACATTTCCTTTCCAGCTCACAGCAGACACTTGGCTCCAATCCAAATATAACTCTGCTGCTATGAGGTCTCTTACACATATTTATTACAGCTTCACAAACCTAAAAGAATAAACCTAAGATGGTTGACACAATTCAAAGATATATCCATAAAATTATCAAGAAAAATGAATTCATGAAAACACAACCTGATAGCTGGCCTGGCCCTAACGGATGACTGGTTCAGCTGAACTTGGCGTACAAATGTAGTTTGCTGAGCTAACAGTCCACTTTTCAGTTTTGACAGTTTATGTGCTCGCATTTGGCCTTGCAAGCTTTCGTACTTGTCTTTGTGGCGAGATTCATAATGTCGGCGCAGATCGTATTCTTTGAACACAGCCACCGCCTCTACCGATGAGACAAACAGCCTTTTCTTTGCATTGTACAAAAAAATTATTTGTCCAATGTGGGTTATATGCTCTGCATTCCGAATCAATTTTTCTCTTCCATAACCTTTTTGCCATTTTTCTTATTTTGTTGAGGTTTCTAGCCGGCTGTATCCGGCCTGTGGACCGCAGTCTGGGGTCCCCTGCTGTATGTTATCACACCTATAAACCCCTCTATTTCAGCCCTGCTCAGAACAGGCTGTTTCTGTGTCTGTACCTTTAAATATGTAAATGAGCTGTGTCTGACCACGCCCCCCCTCTCTGGAAGGACTTTGATTGCTCGGGCTTTCTCGCTCCATGTCCTATTGTTTACGGTGAGAAGGCAGACTCAGAGGGCAGAACAAACACCTAGCTGTGGGAGTGTCACCCACCTGGGGGAGGGGTTACTGCCCTTTGTGATGTCACAGAGGGAAAATCTCCAAATGGCCTGTTTGAGCACACATTTTCCGAAAAGTGGAGCAGGCAAAAGACGGAGAGGATGGACTTCTCATTTTCGCATTTTGCACAATATGTCTTCTTATAGCCACGGTTCTCGTTGTTATTTCTTTAGGATCCCAATTAGCTGTACCTGAGAGCTATTCTTCAAACTTAGTAATGTCAAACACAAGACGGATATTTAAATAAGGTTTAAACAGTGAATGCAGTACATGTTTGAAAACAGAACAAGCAACGGGTCCATGTGTTTCTTTCACCACCAGCACAGCAGTTGTTATATTTACCTCCTGATGACACCGCTGATGATCTGACTCCTCTTTCTCTCACCTTTGGCTAGCTGGTTCACACCATCGGTACAAATCAAGCCTGAACCCTTAATGCTCACAGCTGCAACCCGCTGTATGTCAACAGTTTTCAGGTGGGCTTTTTTTTCCTTTGTAAGATTTGTATTCTGCTGAACTGCGTCAGGATCTACCAAAAGAGAGCGTGGACTCATTAATGGGTCTCTGGCTTTTTACTGTGCTGCTGTGAGGGAGGGGTGTAAGGTTAATCTGTATGTGTTTGAAGTCAGGGCTGTGCCTCATTGACTCTCCATTTCTTCCCTCATCACTCTTTTTATCTCTCTCACTCTCTCTCTCTTTTGCTCACACACACATACCAGTGCTTTGAACTGTGACTTAAGCTTTCTTGTGTTTCTCTCTGTATTTTTCTTTTTGTGTTGCCCCTCTTTGATCTGTGTTAAAAGGTTAAGGTGACTTTGGGGGATTGGGCCGAGCAGGGAGTGTGCAAAGTTCATGCTAGAGAGTTTCTGTCGATGCTGCCGGCTGCATAATAAAAAAGTTTTCACATCATTTACATACAAGAAGAGCACCGTCATGAGTACATGACATGTTTTAAAATGTGTCAAAATGATGTAACCCTTATAATCCAAAACTATGAAACACGAGTTCAACACCAATATTTATCACATGGAAGGTATGGCTAAGTATTAATTTGACAGAATACCAAAGTGTAACTGTAAGAATGCACTTACAACCAGTGTCGGGAATAAAACATTAGTTAGAAACGCCTTAATGTACCGCCACTTTGGGGAAATTAGTGTATCTAATGACTTAAACATTACAGAAACATTAAAGGCACTCGTTACTCGTTAATCTAGACTACATGACATAGCCAACAACTTCATGAGATTCAGGTTTATGACATTGATTTTGTACGCCGCACAGTAGCGTCCTGGAACAACGACCTTGTGCACTTGTTTCTGTCTCAGAAATACCAACATTATTTTTCCTCACTTGTGTTAAACAACAAGAATATAGTGTTCTATTGTTGTCTATGTGCAGGAAGGAAAAATGTGTCTACTTCTAAGGACGGTTATTCCAATGCCACGATGCTGATAGCTAAACCCCACACTTCTATTAAAGTAGTCATCAGCGACACACAAGGCTTTATTTGAAATCCCTGCCAGTTTCACAATCTGTAAGCCAGGACTAAGCAGACTGATTGACAGGTATGTTGATGACAATGTGCTTTATCTCAAGTGTTGACTACATTGCCTTCAGAGAACTAATTATCAAAATACATACTGAAGATGACTTCAATGTTGTGTGAATGTGAGAGTTGTTTCCCCTCACACTGCCTCAGCAACACATGCACAAACAGGATCCTGTGAACATGCAGCACTGTAGAGATGTCAGAGTGAGGGGGCTGCCCACAGCGAGTGCTCCTGAGCTGTTGGGGGGGGTTCAGTGCCTTGCTTGATGGCACCTCAGCAGTGCTCAGGAAGTGAACTGGCACCTCTCCAGCTACCAGACCAATTTCCAGTTTTGGTCCGCACCGGGACTTGAACCTGTAGTCCTGCGGAAGCCCCTGCAGAATGGGCTACTGCCACCCAAGACGCTGCTTAATATTGAAGCAAAATAAAGTAACCCCAAAGTTAATTTCTCAAGTAACTAGTTCCTTTTATAAATCATTTTCAGTAACCTTCCCATCATTGCTCACAACAGGAGTCCTGTGTAAACGTAGATGGAAGTCTTCCCTCTTTGAGGTATGGTTGGGATTTTTATCCAGTACACAGTATTTGTTACATTCATTAAAACAGTCTCTACATCCGGCAGCTATCAATAAATCATGTGCTTTGAAAAAGCTTCATCACCACTGGAGGTAAACCACGTCGAGCAGGAAAAGCTCAGCTCAGAGAAGAAGGCGAGGAGAATGAGTTCAGATAAAGCAAGAGGACAAACTAGAGTAAACATTCATGAAGCTTTTCAGATGGCGGTGAGGGAGTTGAAGGGTTGCTGCATTTCTTTTGCCGTGTTTGCTTTTTTTTCACATTCAGCCTGTTAATGTCGGGTGTTTTTATACTCCTGAATGAGGAATTGTAGTTGCTTGAGGTCCTCTCCAGCGACGCATGTGTGTGGAGGGCGTGGCGTTTGATGGATCCCTGAGGGGAGTGGGTGGGGTTTTTTTAGACAGAGCCCTATGAGGAGATGTTTCTTCAGATCTTGCGAGCTTTCCAGAATTCCCAACCCTGCTCTCCAATAAACAAGAACACAGAACCATTTTCTCTTTGTGCAAATGCAGCTATTTTCTCATCATCGTTGCAATTGTTCACCTTTGACAATTTTATGAATTTTGGTACTCTTAAATTGTTTTATAAAACTAGAGAGCAACAGTAATGCTTTTAACAGATGACTCAAACAATGGCTAAAATCAAAACAACAGTGCTCACATGAATAGCGTATTATGTGTATTTATTTGTTCTCTGCTTATTGTTTTTCTCTGTTTTACCTTCCTATCTTAATTGTTTTCCTTTCAAAAGCCTCCTGTGGACAGGTGTTGACAACTAGCATGCTTGCTAAAACACTTAAACAATGCATCTGGTTTGTGATGTCCATGCCAAATAAAGAAATGAATTAATGAATGTACGTTTCTTTCTACCCAGAATGTATTTTATTTGCACAATTAAGCTCTTAACACCACCAGCAGAAAGCCTCCCTTGTCGAGCAGTAACACGTATGTCAGATTCTTGATCAGGTGAGCACCTCTACCTTCATGTCATACCCACACAGCGTCTTCATGACAGCTCAGCAGGAAGCTGTAGCTGCTCGGAGCAAACGCACACACACCGCAGCTGCTGTGATGAGGTCACGAGTAAACATGAGGAATGCATTTTCTTGGTTTCAGACTGGCTCATCATGCTGTTAACAGATGGAGAAAGTTTGTCATTTTATTTCACACAAATATTTCCCACACAGATTTCACATCTCTACATGGGAATTGGAGAACAAGGATTAGCTCGCTCGTTACCGCTGTCACAGCTTTCACCTGTGAAGGTGTGTGTGTGTGTGTGTGTGTGTGTGTGTGTGTGTGTGTGTGTGTGTGAGAAAGAGAGAGTGATTACGATGATACACTGCTCATCATTGTTATAGCGATGCACCTAAGGGAGGATGTGTGTGTTCAGCGGTTAATGAGACAGCTTCCAACAGGCTCCTCTTCATGAGGATGGATGGCTGCAGAGGAAGCTGCTCTGCGTCTCTCTCGCTTCCTTTTCCTCCTCCGTTCGCTCCTCCTCTTCTTTCCTCTCTTCTGCATGCTTATCTCCTGATGTTTTTAAGTCACCACTTTTCTTTCTTGTCATTTTATTGTCTCTTCCGTCCGCTGCTCTCTCTTTTTTTTTTTTTTTCCATCGTACGTCTTGAGCATTCTCCATCCATCTCTGCCTTTTACCCTCTGAGCCTGTGGAGCCAGTGCAGAGACATCAGCATAAATAAGGTATGAGGTGGTGTACCATTACCTCATCCACAAACACACACACACACACACACTGTTGACATCCCCACATTTCCATCAGAAGAAGGAGAGCGCAGAGTAAAGGTTCCCTGGGGATGATGTTCATGTTTTCTTTTAGGAGGGAGACGCCAAGAAGCCCAGAAAACAATTCAAAGGACAGAGGATGAAATCAGCCGGGCGTGGTGGGCTGTAAAACCTCTTCAGAATTATGGTGGTGATGATTAATAATTATTTTAATCCTGACTAAGAAATTATGAAATGATAAATAACAATAAAAAAGAGATTAGCCCATGTAATAAGTGCTTAAGTACTGTTAAGACAATAAGCAATGAGATTATTAAAATAAGCGTGAGATTTATAACAGCTCACACTCGGCCGTGAGGCAGCCATGAATATTTCACCTTATTGAACGCACCTCTGGAGTGTGACCGGCTCTGCTTGAACATTAACTTTAAAGAATACAGCGTTAATTGTCTGAGTTTTACACCAGATTGAAAACCTTCCCCTCCACACATTATGATGTGCTCGAAATGTGATAAATATTTCACTCTTCACAGAAGACCCAAACTGGAAAGCGGTAGAACACACGCTGCTAATTACACCCCTGGGTGGTCATACTGGGTGTTATTACCTCAACTTACTCAATGCATAAAATCATTTGGTTGACTGCAAATTATAATGTCAGATATCATGTGAGAAGTAGGATGTTCCTTTGGCTTCAGAGGAAGGCGGTCCAGGGCCTTCCTGCCTAAAGACATTTGACAATTTTAGCTCTGACATTTAAGCCATACTGGAGTCAGATCCAGCGATGGCACAATTTGGGCGCTCAGTTGGTTGGAAATAAAACATCTTGAAGTACTCATTTTCTACACATATTCATGTTCACCAGAAGACAAATTCCAAAGACAAGTTTTCCTGCTCGTCATATTCACACAGCAGCCATCTTCCTCTGAAGCAAGGGTGCAGTGTGAGATGCTGAACTGAGGCGACGCCTGCAAGCTAATTCAAGAAGGCCACTCAAGCTGCACTGATTTCACATTCAGTATGTTTACATGAAGATAGAAAACGTTGATTTATGCATCAAAAATTGACTTTAAAAATGCATGTAAACATGTTAGTCCTACTGACAATTTCACCCAAAATCTTAAAAAAAGTGTTTCTGGAGGAAATTACCAAACCTGCTTTCAATCAGACCAAAATGGTTCCTAGGCACTCTAACCTGTGATATCATCATAAGCTAGATGCATTGTATATGTACCAAAAGTAAAGCAGAGATAGAGTACACAACCTTAAAGTTCTCCATGTTTCACTGTTCAACAAACAACCAGTTTGCTGCTTGCCTACTTGTTAGTAAGGTTAAATTGGAAGTAGGTCCAACAGTTACTACTTGAAGAGGGGTATTTCACCACCTATTGCGGAGTGAAACATACGTCTGTCAATAAATGGATTCTCCTCTGGTGCATGTATACTGGGACACGGACTGAAGTCCAGTTAAATGCTCTAATCCAGCTATAACCATAGCTTGATTTAACTATGCATGTAAACCACTAAATGTAAAGATCCTTAAAGTTGTCCATTGTTTTCACTGTTCCAGTTTGCTGCTTGCAAACTTGTTAGCCAGATCAACCAGACAAAGGTCCAATAGTAACTAGCTGAAAGGGGGAATATTGAAACTGCCATAGTTGAGTCGTAAATGCTTAAAAAAAAATGATTGTGTTGATTTCAGCCCCAACACTAACCCAGCATCCAGCTGCAGGTCGGCTCATTGCATAGGAGATAAAGGTGATTGCCTATGGGCCCCAAGTTCTGAGCAAAGCTGACGCAAGCCTCACATTTGAATGAAGCCATTAAAATGATGTTAAGTGTAAATGTATGGCCAGATGACAACTTCCCTAGTAACATCTCCCTCTGCTGCTCAATATTTCAACGCTCGCTCTCCCCCCCTCTCTCTACCACTCACTCACTAAATGAGTGGTTGTCACAGATGGAAGAGAAGAGATGACAAGCTGTTCAGGTGCATGAGGAAAGAAACTCCATGTTCTGTATCCTGATTGTGCCAAAGAAAAGAGATGTTAGGAAGTTAGCCTCTGAAGTAACTTCTTAAAGCAACAATGTGTAACTTGTCCACCTTTTAATAGTGGTTGCGATCTTCTGGTAAAATAACTTTCAACAGGTAGAATGGTGTTCCCATTTCCATAGAGTGCCTCTGTCTTCTACTTTCAGCACCATAAAACCTTTGGCAGCGGGCCGCGGTGCTCTCATAAGAAGTGCTTATGGCTCTACGGCACTAGTTCACAGACCAGCCTTCAGCTGAAAAGAAGCCAGTTAGCCTGTTTTAACCTTTGGCTGAGGCTAAGAGAAGGAAGAGGACCGTGACAGATGAAGCTAAGAAGAAATTGAGAGTGACGAAGGAAGAAGCCAGGCTAGAGTAAATGTTGGACAGGCTTTGACACGTTGGACAGAGCTTTGACAAACAATAGGTTGCAAGTTGTCGCCGAGCTGGCTTTCTAAATACACTGAGTTAACAACAATGCAGTTCCACTCAAAGAACTTTGGTGGGCGCCAAAGTGCACAAAACTGATTCCTCCATAATATTGTTTCAGGACTCCTGATATTTCTGCACATGTGGAAACGAAAATCAATTTACGGTTTGCTGTACTGTTGTAGTATCCGAGATTCATCTTGGTGTCGAGACGACTATTTGAAAGTCTCAGTCCGTCTTGGAATGGAAAACATTTTTAGTCAGTCTTGTGTTGGTCTCAGACTGGGCGGACTCCAGACTTTAAATTAAGACCGGACAAGACCACCTCTGATTGTTCCCAGTCATCACTGCGCCGAGAGGCAAAACGCCCCCTTTGTAAAACAACAAATAACTTCAATTCTTATTTTCCCTGGTTACGGCCACAACCTTCCCGGTGTTATTATAAATGAGTGACACGCCCCCTGCACACTTCATCGATATCTATGGCCTTGACTCCCTAAATGTCTTGGTCTTGTCTTGGTCTCGGAGCACTCTGGTCTCAGGTATGTCTTGGTCTCAGTTAGTGGTTTTGACTTAAACATAATGTGCAGCATTTTTTCCTTTTTTTGGTTTTGACCAAAACACCTACTCAAATGTTCTTGTTTTCTCTGATAATTCCTCAGACTTTGTGTGTCCTTGCAGGATAAAAAACATGATGTTCCATCTTTGGAGGTGAAAGCAGCAAAGCTGACAGCTGACGTGAACGGCAGGCTGACTGACTGCAGCACAGATATAATCTCTCAGGAAGCCTGTTTTTTTAATGCACATTCACACAGTCATCCTTCAACAACCTTGCATGTTAGTGAAATCTCAAGAAACAGAATTAATATGGATTTAAATACAGTTTGCTTTCTTTTTTTTTGACTTAAGGAGTATCTTCTGCCAACCATGTCCTCTATTTATAATGTTTGTAATCTACTAAACTACTCTCCTAAATCTTAACCACTACATCATTATTTGTTTTGATATAACATCACCAGATATTACATCAAATGACCATAGAAATCTACTCGGGTTTTAGTGGAAGCTAAGTCAAAATTTATTAAAACATTTATGGATTTACATCCTCAATGGATGAAAATGGACTGAGATATTTGGTATAACCTGTCGCCTCACCAGGGTTTCATCTGCCAGTGCCTACAGTAGCTCCTCCTTTGCCGCTCTCCTCCTCAAAGCGTGACAGTGTTCCCCTGACTGATAAATACAGTGTTTAAACTAAACTACGACTGGGTGTTTTGAGTGGAAGAAATTAACACATACATCTAAAAAAGTAAAGGTTCTAAGATTAATTCTGATGTATAGTAAGAAGGTGTTTAAAATACGAAACACTGCCAAACTATTAACGCCTCCTCCCTCAATGTGAGACAGCGACAGACAGCCCCCCCGCCGATGTGCTGCCGGCTGCCTGTGAGTAACGAGACAAGGTTCCACAATATCTAGCAAATAACTTGACTAATTGAAATGACTGTGCTGAGAATTTTTTGAAATGGAGTAATGGAATAAATTAACCCATCCCACTAATCAAAGGTTTTTTTTTTTTGCTTTATTTTGATATACGTCACAGAGGTTTGACTGAAATGAAGCCACAGCCTCGGTGAATGAATCCAACGGGGAGGAGCAGAGGAAGATGATCGGAGCTTTAGGGGCTCAGGTGGCCGGGTCTGAAGCACATGACATCAAAATTGATGTTCTTTTTTTTTTAATTCCCAGATAATAACGAGCATATTTCAGATATAAAAATGATCTGTGCTCACCTCATTAATCCATGCCTTTCTGCATCCTGGACCTTCACTGATTCTGGCTCATCGTTACTGATTACATGTACCTGCAACAGAACAGAAAAGAAAGCACAACCAAACAGGCCAGAGGGCGGTCACAGCTGGTCATATTAACATGATTTTACTGATAGGGTGTTAGTTGGTCTCACAGTTGATTGTTTGAGGCAGAGGCTACATTCTTCAAAGCAGGTGGCTCAGGGTCGACTCTGAACCATCGACTCCTTTCCTGCGTGTCATTCCCCACTGTCACCAGTGAATGGTGTTTGGTGAGATTACCATAAGAAATAAAATACTTCACCTTAAAATAAAATACTGATTTATTATCAAAATGTCTGTGACTTGCCAGTTCAGTTTCTTTGGTTATAGTGTTACGATATGAATAATGATAAACCCACAAAGATCTCTTATTGGGGGCGTCGGTGACCGAGTGGTTAGGTGTGCGCCCCATGTACAGAGGCTGTAGTCCTCAAAGCAGGCGACCCAGGTTTGAGTCCAACCTGTAGCTCCTTTCCCACATGTCATTCCCCACTCTCTCTCTCTCCCTGATTTCTTCCTCTATCCTCTGCCCTGTCTCTCGATAAAGGCACAAAAAGCCCCCTACCTCCCCTCCAAAACAAATCTCTGATTGATGAGAACAAAACAAAGTGACAGTTAAGGCTTCTGACTTTTCATTTTTGTGACAGTCGTTATTTGAACGATTGAATGCAGATTGTTGTGAAGCTGATGAAGGATTATAAAAGGACATAGAATTAGAGATGTAGGCTGGTGTCAAACCACTAAGAGCCATGTCAATGAGTAAAATAACACCAGAATGAATCCCCAAAGACGCTGGCAGCTACTGTCAGCTCGCTCAAACTGGGCTGCTATGTTCTCTTTTTCTTCTTGTTCTAGTTCCAAAGCCTGGCAGCAGATCTAACTTAATCATAGTTTGTTATTCGCTTAGTTTGAAAGACCAGTTATCAACTTAATATAAATGCATGAACAAGTTTTCAGTATCCTGCTTGGGTAGGAGTGGTCGAACTTTTGCAATATTTTTTAAGTCAATGAAAGTTGCTTTAGTACACTGACATTAGAAAACCTAATTCTGTCTGCAATTTGTTCCTTAAAAGCAAATATTTGAACATGTTTTTTGGGGGTTAGAAAGTAAGGGAGGGAATAGAAATGAGAACATAAGCTGCTGACTGAATTGTTATTCAGTAAATCACTTAAATCACTTATTCAGTAATCACAAAAAAAGTTGAGCTATGATGACACCTGAGCCTTGAATGTGACTGAGCTCTTCTTCTTTTCCACTACTCTGAGCTCCAGCCTCACTGAGCGCTCCACAGCTGTTTCCTTTTCTTACTTCAGGCTGAAAGGAAAGAAAGTGTCCTTCCAAACACTTTAAAAAAAACACATTCAAAAGCTCCTCAAGGGCAAACCAAACCATTTCAGGTGAGAGCTCCAGAGTTTAGCAGCAGGTGTCCGTGTGTCACGAGCAAAAGAGGCATGCCCGCAGAGGAGATTCCAACGAACTGCAAAGCTCATAAATCCCATCGTAGAGAGCTGTGTAGGACATGTAGGTTTCCTCATATACAACCATGTAGATCCACTGTAAATGTTTGCACCCTGCAGTCGTAGGTACAGTTTCTCAGTTGCGACTGATTTACAGCACCAATAAAGAACATTCAGCTCCATTTATCGTGACCTGAAGTAATCGCAGTTAAAACAAACACAATACTCATTATCTCCACGCACTCTTTTTTTAATAGGATACATACATCATCACTGGCGCAGCAGATTGGTTTTAGATTTACAGCTGGAACTTGAAGGTACAATGTTTGGCGAGTCAGATACTTCCAACGCAAAAGCAAACAAAGACTTCAAGTCTTAATCAAGAACTTAATGCTCAATGTACATTTATACCTGTTTTTTTTTACCAATGCTTTGGAAAATTAGAGGTACACTTTGGCGCCCACTGAAGGTCTCTGAGTTCAACTGCACTGTCTTAAAACAGTGCTTTTTAGACCTTTATTTAAAAAGGGAATGGAGCAACAGGTCGGATTCTAACCCAGGCTCGCCCCCTGGAGGACTACAGCCTCTGTACATCGGGTGCGCGCAATAACCGCTACTCCACTACTCCACTAGTGCCCCCAAATTTCAGTTTTTATGTAAACTTCCAATCTTAGATATAAATCACACCTAGAGATTAAAGAATCTATTCAGATACGTCTTGGAAACTGCTGCCAAATGCAAGTTTTTTGGTCCATGACTTGCACCATATTTAAAACAATAAGACCCCATTTAAATTTAATCTAACTGGTGGCATGAATAACTGAGTAAACGGCCCACTGACCATAATGTTTTGAGTTATTCACTGCACTGAAAGCAGAATTGGAATAATAACCTGCTGCTCTGGCACAGGTTTTAGCAGCTTAAAGGAAAGAGTGAAGTCAGAGGCTGACAGGCGGCCATGCTGGAGACACAGGATCAGTGCAGGAGTCAGGAGCATCAGCTGTGCCAGCCTGGTTGGCAGCTCTTCAGGCAACGATAGCCAGGGCTGGGAGTCGAAACCAGACGAGCCAGGACGATTTCATGTCACTCAGCCGCCTGCTTTCCACAGGAGGAGACAGGACCTATTTTCATTATTCATACCACTCAGGAATGTGATCTCCTTCCCTTAAAGTATCTCATGGCAGGAACAAATGACACATTAACAAGCTTGTAGTTAGTGGCTGCCTTCCCAAAAAGCAGAGGCACGATGGACGGTGACATCTTGAAGTGTAACGCAGCTGACCAAGCTAACATTTTGAATGAGTTGAGAGCGAGAATGTGCAGCATGGATGAAACAGCAGCCAAAAATGACAAAATATATTTGAGAGGGTATTTGGCCCAAAGCTACCGGAGATAGATTATTGAAGCTGAATGATTTAGCACTTAATAAAGCAACCAGAGACACACATGAACATGTTGGAATTCAGCAGGCTGTAGGTGCACTCCTGCTGTTCACCTAGCAGACTGGCATGTGGTTAATATGTCACAGGCGGGGGGCTAATGTGTCGGCTCCCGCCATGTTGCTCACCTGTAAATACCTGACAGGGTGCTGCAGAGGAAGAACAGCAGTCAACTCCACATGAATCTTCACAGTAGCAGCATTGTATTAAAGGACCGCACTGTGTGTGTGTGTGTTAACCTGAACGATAGCAAACACACTCCACACACTGGAGCTGAAGCTGTTACTGAGCTGCATGAAGGGATAAAGATTTTATATTTATCTAAGTGTTTTGTGTTTCAAATATAGTAACCACAATCCCCATCTTTTAAGCCTATCTACTCTTTTATTATGTTCTGATTTTTATTTGTGGTAACATCACACAGGCGGAGGCTCATGGGTGGAGGCTGACTCAACTTGACAGGAAACAACTGACGCCAGTAACTGGTTTCTATCTGCCCAATATAATTATCTGGCTCCCAGTCTGCCACGCCACCCCAGTAAGTTTAAGACGTTCCACACAGATGGCTATGAGTGAGGAGAGAGAGGGGAGTTTGGGTAAAAACATTTTGTACACATACTCGTTTATTATCCTCGTCCTCTCTGTTACTGTTGATTTGATTTTGCTCTGTGAGCGAGTAACTGAAAAAAAGTTATCAGAGTCACAGTTTTCTTTTTTCGATTTTAGCATGTGGTTCCGAGTAGTAGCCTTTGGGTTTCTTGTGGCAAAATAGAACTTTTGAGTGTTCACATGGAGTTTATTTTTCACCTTTCATCCGTGCAACACGCTTGTCTTCTTAAACAGTCCAGCTTCTAAACTCCAGTTAAAGTTAGCTCTGAATTCATTCAATGGATCACTTTCACATCACTTAGTTTATGGCTGTAATTATTAGAGAACAACTCAAACAAAGATGGACTAAAAAAAATGAAATTAGATTAATTTAGACCCCAAATAATATATTATTCAAATATTTACCACAATCTGCTGTTTTGCAGGTATAAACTGTAACAGAATTGGTTTGCTTCAAACCCAAGTTATGAACAGTAGTAGAGAAAGGATTGTCTGCCATAACTTGCTTCGGCTAGAAACCATATCAGTCTCATTCAACAACTCATCTGTACCAAAGTAAGAGAGGGAAAGGCAGACTGCAGGAAGGAACCAGCAGAGGGTCTGAGAAACCAGTAGGTAGGTTTACAGGCAGGTAATCAATCGTAGGGAGCGTGCCTGAGAGTCTTGCATGAGATACGGAAAAAAAAAACAAAGAAAGGACAATAAGGCACAGAGTGAGTGAGCAAGAGAGACTTATATACTGGCTTGATTACTGATGAGGAGCAGCTGTGTGCACAGGTGAGCTGAGGACGCTGTGAGCTGGGAATGTCTGGCAGGCGGAGATGAAAGAAATGAGAAGGGGAAGATTAGCAGATGAGGAAAACTGTGACACTGCTCATACAATAGATTTATATATTATGACGCATTAGTCAGTGTAGACTAAACTAGGCAATGGTATATGAATCAGTTAAAATGAACACAGCCTTGAACATCACAAGCAGATAAATGCAACATACTCATCAATCCAAAAAAACATCAGATTTAATCTTACAAGAATGACATCATGCATTACACATTTTTAACAATCTCATTATTTGCCTTAATAGCGATGCTGATTTAGTTTGACATAGTCACGCTATCAAGGAAAGAGGGGAGAAGGACAACTGGTGAACGGAAAACATTAACCCCGTTAGGACTGCCCGTTCAAGGCGCGATGCATTTTGCAGTTGCGGAACATGAACGTACAAAGTCGTAATGACGACACTCTGAAAAGGGCTAAAGAGCAACTTTCCAACATCCCCCATCAGCTATCACATCATACTGAAAAGTGTAAACTATACAACAGAAAAGACTGTAACAGTCAGATAAGGACGTAATCTGCTAAAGCCGTGAATCAAAAACTTGTTAGCCAGCGCCCTATCACATTCTCAGATACTGCCAGAGGAGCTGTCATATTCAAAATCAGGATTTAGTGCTCAGAACGCGGGGGCTCAGAAAAGCTTTCAGGGATAGAGATAAGAGAGGAGAAAGAGAACAGATATCAGGGTGTAAAAGAAGAAAGAGAACAGCAGAGGCTTTAGGCATTGACCTATCTCTGATCCACTTTTCCCCGCTGCGTGGTTAGAAGTTGGGAGAGCAGCTGAGCTCTCTGCTGCGGCCTTTTATTTATCGCTCGCTGTCGCCTGCTGCGAGAACATCATTATTAGCTGATGGGCATGAGCAGAGAGTGTGTAAATATTTCGTTTAATCGCTAGCGACTTGCAGCAGTCATCACTACAGTTGAAAATGTGACGCATGAATGGAGCAGTAATTGTGGAGACGGAGGCTCAGGATCATATCAAGACGAGAGTTATGTTCTGAAGCCCTCAATAAATATGAAGTGTAATACAAAGTGTCATACTGCTCTGTACTATTGTTTTAAGTCTCACATTACAGGAGAACCAACGCGATTAATAATTCAAGAAAGTTCAAACACCCAGGCCTTTAAATGAGCAATATGTAAGATATCTACTGAATTAAATTATAAAATGTCCTTACTATATGATCAGACATTAAGGAAACATGCTGAGTTGACGTGCTGGCTTCTCTGACAACAATGCAGCAGACAGTATGTCCTCCTTTAAAGTTTAGATTTCTGTCTGTAATATTCTGTATTTGTTTTCACCAGAGAAGGTATCTCCCCCACACACGGCCGTTTTGGACGCCTCTTGGTTTGCCAGATATGACACCAGTTATCATTGCAAACCAACAGGTGTTGCAGTGATGGAAACGGGCAATATATATGAATTTGTGATAAAGACCACACACGTTTTGCCTGTAGCCTCCTCAGGTTCGCCATGCACGTGGAACCTGAGGAAGCTACAGGCGAAACGCATAAAGTTATTTTCAGTGTGCCACAGACTTTTGACTTATTTTTTGTGATTTGTTCCTGCAACCGTGCTCACCTGAGCACATGTGGAGGCTGTGCACAGGGTACCCTGTTGGCCATTTAGAAAGTCTTTGATTATGTCCGGGATTTTTCCAGCAATAAATTCCGACCAACTGGAGAGACAGTGCATCACACACTTTGGTCCGCTTGATGTCACCATGTGAAAACAGACTGATCTTCATAAGGTAATTATGCAACAATGTCATGAATTGGTTCATCATTCAGACCAGAGTAAACAAACTATAGGTGTGAAAACACCCTGAAGGACTGAGGCCAGGTGCACCTCGTTGAGCAATCAGTAGCCTCACCTGGGCAAAGCTGCAGACTACAGTAGGGGAGAAGGGACAATCAGCACATAAACACACAGCATGAACTGGAATCATCACGACTTTCATCATGGACTTCTGTCGTGTTTCTGCACCAAATTTTGCCGTTACTCATGGAGACACTGAGTGAAAGAGTCGACGTAGAAACACATTTGAAATCCCATTTATCAAACATATTGGTCACATCAGATTGGCTGCAGCAACTTCTTACGCAACGTCTATGATTGACAGTAAAACATTGGTTCCTCGGCTGCAGTCATTGTTGACCGTAATGTATGCTCATCAGGCAATTTCTCAAAGTTCAAGTATACTTTCGGGAGAGCAAACTGCGAAAATAAAATATGCATATAATAATGGCATATCTGCAAAGGTGCTGTTTAATTTCCTAATAAAGCGGGACGAAGAGCTTAATTACCTGCCTGGCCTCCTTCTCTCAGAGAGCCAGGCTGTGATACACGTGTTCATCATCACAGCCTCGAGGACGTAACACGGACCTGCAGCTGCCTCTGCCGCTTATAATAGTCCATTCTTTCTGCTCTGCGTCAGATAACGACCTTCACCATACTGCTCCATGATGATAGCTATTATGGATGAGTCACGGGCGAGTGGCTGTTTATGTTTGCCATCTATCGCTCTCTGTCTCCTCTGCTCTCTCTTTTCCCCCTCTCTGATGCACTGTATGCACTCACATGAAAAAAGAAAATGTGCAAATGAACTCACAGAATTTTAAAAGCATCAGTGGAGGACATACATCTAAATTATTGAAACAACATTCTCTTAATAAGACTAACTTAACTTTTGTAATAAGCAGACGATCTCTCACTGACTCTGCCTTCACTTTTCAGACAGAGTGCATGCGGATACCCCGTACACAATACAGAAGGGAATGCTGAAGTGTATGGCTTCCATAAACCGTAAAAGTCACCCGTTGGTTTCTGGAGCAAACTTTAGAAGTGGCCATATATTTGAAATATTATCGCCATATTGGAAATGCTGTCTCAAACTAACTGTGAGGCAACCTGAGATGGGACTGAACAGCAACAATGCACCTGGCTGTCGGTCAGATTAGCTACGCCCCTTATGATGAATAACTCTCAGCCTTAATATCATCATAAAGGATAAGTTACCAATAAATTCATCCCCATATGGGGCGATAAATAAATGAGCTTCTCAGACACAATTCTCTGCAAACATGTTTCTTTCTAGTGTGGAATCTGGCATTGTTGAATGGGATTGCAGCCAGCCTCAAGTGGACACTTAAGGATCTGCAGGTTTTTGCACTTCCACATTGGCTTCATTTTCCAACCCTGGAGGACGCCGCTTGGTAGCTACCCATGATTGTAACGGCTTAAAGCTGTCAACAAGGAGGCTTCAAATTGATTATCCTCACCTCTTCTCCAAATACTGTCACTTCAAGCTCCAAAAACAAGATAGAAATGGCTCAAATGTGACACTTCTGTAAAAGTGCATGGGTTATAAAGCCAGTTTGTGACAGCTCAGTGACCATGTGAACTTTTTACATTCAATAAATGGCTGGAAGTTGACAAAACCAACGTGAAATGCAATTTTGATGATTTTAAACACCATATTTATGGTTCCAAACACAATTTCCCAATAAACATGAAGGTAGTTTGTCATTTTAGAGATCTTGCGAAATGCTCTTCTGTGTGAATGAGCACGTACTTATGAAACCCCTCCATCAGTCAATGCCCTACTTAAGCCGACACAGTCAAAAAGTATGGAGACTAGAGACAAAGTGTTGGGAAAACAAGTGTTCAAGTCCCCTATATTACACAGCTACTTGTCCCCTTGCTCCTCAGTTAATAATCTAACATAAAAAACGCTGCAGACAGCAACGTTTCCTTTCAATACATTTAACTTGATGAAAAAACAGAAGTCCGGCACACTGAAAATAGCTTGACTATATTTTTATTGTGCGCGAACAATGCGTTTCACCTGTAGCTTCTTCAGGTTCGCCCAGCACAATCACACATTTAACTTGATCTTTGTATGCATTCATTGAGTCTGATCCTCTGCTTGTAGATGGTCACAGTCGACGTTTACAACAGTCTGAGGCTTCTCTTTGACATTGTAGTACCTCGTCCAAACCACCAGGTAGCAGACCAACAAAACATTTTCTAGAAAAGTATTTATTTAAAACTTTCTGACGAGCTTTCTGTTTGTGTGTATTTTGGTGCCCCCTTTTTGAGAATGAGGCAGCTCTTATAATTTAGTTTTGGTTAAAAAAAAGGATGATTTAAAAGGATGTTGTTTTATAAATCTATTATTAAGTTCACAAAATAAACTGAAGATTTGAGTCTTTTGAATGGCAGTCTGTGGAGATTTAGTTCAATCAATCTTTATTGGTTTATCACCAATTCATAACAAAGGTGATCTCAAGAGAGCAGGTAAAAGGCCTTACTCTTAGTTACACTATATTACAAAGACCCAACATTAATCCACCATGAGCTCAGCACTGAGCAATATTTAAATCCGGAGAGACATGTGAATAGAGAACATGATTTATTACAGTGGATAAAATGGAAATGTGACTCGACAGACAGACTTTTGACTCTATGGGGTGGTTGATGTGTTGGGAGAATTCTGATCATCAACAGAATAAATCCCCTCCATGGAGTCCAGACCCTGGTGGTGGTGAAGCTGTTAACTTGATGAGACCGGATGAGTGAAGGATTGATGGATGATGATTCTGCAAAGACGCGGGGGTGATGGGAGTGGGAGGGTGCACAAAACATCGGCATGAAGGAACTAATGGTGCATTCATGTGGTGTTGGACACATCGGAAAAAAACAAGTTTCTGAGTTGTAAAATGCACATGAACACTGGCTCAAGTCAGAACATGCACTTGAAAACTCAGAAAACAATTAGGTGCCTGACTTTCCGACTTTCCGTCAGAATCGTCATCTCATGTGGGGCAAAATATGTTTTGTTAATGTTAACATTAATTCATGTATTGCACATCAACACATCAACACAGAATCAACACTTTTTTTTGCTGTTGTTACAATATTCCGACTTACCGAACTGAAATCATGTGAACGCACTGAAGTTGGAAGAAAGACTTCCCAACGTGGAAACTTGGAGCAGCACATGAATGCAGCATAATGCAGATAAAGATTCAAATTTAAAATTGGAGCAGCATGATGATAGGCTGACAATGAGGGAGGAACGCCATGCAATTGGTTAGTTGAGTACCGCTGACGAGACAGCTGATTACCCAATGACAGCGGAGATGTGAGTGAGCGTGCGTGATAGGGACGAATGAGAGATAGACCCCATCGAGCAAAACTTTTGCGTATGTCGTTTTTTATTCTCGCTACAGAGGAGTGATGTCTAACGGGAAAACATCGCATTTAAAGAGACACACACACCAGAACGGAGCATTCTGAGAGAGCTGGTTTCTACAGGGTCACAAACCTCCTCTGGTGCTTGATTCATGTTATATTTGGACCAAAGCACAGCACAGATGTTTCATTTAGCCCACAGGGGACTGTTTGAAAAGATGGAAAAGGGGTATAGTATGTCCTCTATAACAAGGCCTACTCCATTAAAGCTTCAACTCCAAGCCTGCTTTTGAACTGTAAGCTTTGGCAATGCAGCAAGCAGACTTTTTGATGTATGTGAATGCATTACGCTTTTATAATCCAGATGGAGCTTGGATGAGCTGGACCTAAAACAATAAGTAGAAGCAGAGAAATGATTGCAAAAAGTTAAAGCCATTTATTCAGTGATGAAAGCCTCAGAAAATGTCATTAATCCACGAAGTGCCAATATGGCTGGAATATTATAATTCAGAGCTGGTGAGGCGTATAGAAGTGATATCATCTGAGCTCTCTTCACAAGAACCAGAAAGCAGGAGAATGTTTTATGTCAGTTCAGCTTCAGAGATGTGTCGTTCAGCTCCCGTTCTTCCCTAATGACTTGTGATTTTCATCCCTTTTCTTTCATCTTTTCCTTCTGCGCTGCTGTGCATCAACAATGTGCAAGGACAGTCACTGAGTAAAAATAGAAAAAAAGGACACACACACACACACACACACACACACACACACACACACACACACACACACACACACACACAAATACATTTGGTACATTTTTTATCAAAAGGCTTCTAGGATCCGGTCCAGAAGCTATTTGCTGACAGCCATTTTTAATCCCTCGATTAAAAAAGGAGAAAAGCTTATCTCCTAAAAACAGACATCCAACTGAATCAATCCCTCGATCTGCTGTTGGCTCGCTGTAAAATATTAAAATAGAAAACGATAGACCCTGCCTATTTCCACTAAACTGTTTGGAAAAATCCTCGTAGGTTGTTGTGGAAGAGCTGCAGAATAAATAGTTTCACATTTCCCTTCATTTAGTGAGATGATGGGATGTAAAACACAAATGTGTTTGGAGAGACGGGCCTATCAGCAGGCGGAGCTACAGGGGCAATTTGTTTTAGTGCAGAGGATCAAACAATCAGCGGGAATTAGACACTTTGAACACGAGAGCCTGCGTGTGTTTGCTGCTGCATCGCGCCAGTCCAAGAAACTCACTGACAGAGTGATTCATTCTTCAGACTCGCGTTCGATTTCACAGCTGATCTGTTTGTCCTCTGTGTGTGTGCCTTGATGGAGACGTGTCAGCGACTCAACTTGTAGTCAGTCATGTTTTTTTTTTTTGTTACAGCTTCAAAGATGGCAGCACATCTCTCTCTCTCTCTGTTTCCTTACACGTTAAAAATAAGATATGGAGAGAGTTAATAGAGTACCGTTAGATGACCTCATGTTTTAGTTGAAGATTTCACCACTTGATGTTACTGTTGTTAATACACTGACCACTTGCTGTAGTTCACGGGTTAAGGTATGAAACAAATATCTCATCTTATATGAATTATAACTGAAACATATTGCTTTGTCATAGTTTTTCCTCCCTTTTTGTGGATAAAAGGCACTGACTAGAAGTTATTTTGAGCTGTTTCAGACACTTTAAGCATTAGAGGCATTAATGTATCAATGACTACATTAAGAAAAAATGCATTTCACTGATTGGTGAAATTAAAAATGTAATTTCTGCGACAATAATTTGGTTAGTTGGGACGTTTCACTCTACGAGTTCATTTGAACCTTTCCAAACAATGACACACTCGAAGTAACTACCTATTGTGTGGACAAGGCATCCAAACCTAAGACCGAACATATCTTACAGGTCTCCTTCATCAATTGTGAAGACCATCAGTGAAGACCCTCTAAACTCCACTGAGTGTGACTGCAGACAGATGGATTTTAAAAACCCCAAACTTGTGCTGATGTTAAACTGAAACATTTGTGACATTACACATTATAAACCTTCTTGGAGAGTCATTCTTGGAGCATGACCCTGATGACTGATGAGTTTTATTTCAGTTTTAACTATGGTTTTATGGAGTTTTTCATACATGGTCAGTTTCCTGTTGTTAACTATGGAGCCCCTGAAGTCCCAAAGAGTTAAAAAAAAAATCAAATTATGCACACAAGATATCATAAAACTTTTTTTTTTTTTTTTAACTTTTTGAGGACTTTAAGGTCTCTGTAGTTACCTGATGAACTCTAGGTTGAATCTATTTCATTATTTTATGTTTCTTAATCTGGCTACAAAACAAATTTCCCCTCAGGGACAATAAAAACGATGTTTAAGTTGGGTGCAGTCTTCCTGTCTATGGTAAAAAAAAAAAAAATCTCTTTACAATCACATCCTGCGTGAGTGCAGCTGAACGCTCCTTAACCAAAAAGTTTCTTCTTTAAAACATATTTACACAAATCTGTAATCGCTTATATCAGCAAGCTATAGCTGGAGATACATGCTGTTAGATAGTTAGTTCAGTTTAAAGCACAAGTCTGCAATGAGCTTAGCTGTACATCACACACAAACAAAACAAAACCTTTGGAGGCAAAAGTAGCATCACTGACTGGTTTTTCTATAAACATATAAGTAAAACTTTAAGCTATATTAATAGCACACTTGGGTTTGAAACCAATTGTAATTGTGTAAGCCCTAATAAAAGTGTTTTCTTTGACTTTCAAGCTTATCCGCTGTGTTTCAGAATCAGTTTCACCATTTTATAAATGTCATCTTGATTATCAGCTTATTAGCCCAGATGATGTTTGGATTTCTTATTTCTAATTTTGTCTGTTTAGCTCAGTCAGAGGTCCCTCTCCAGCTGTAGCTTCTTGTCCCTGATGTGCTGGAGGAGAATCTTCCCTCTGTGCCCCACGGTGCGGATCAGAGGCCTGAGACCGCTGCCCCCCCCTGGCTCTCCCAGAACTCCCTATCTGTGTAGAGGGAGCGAAGAAGAAGACTCTCCAGGCAGCCTGAGTGCAGCACGGACACGGCTCGCTCTGGAAACCTGATGACATGGAAATGGAAACATTATAATGAGATGTAATGAAGCTTTGAAGACTTGTCTAAAGGCTATAGAAAAGACGACTCATGAGGGAAGTCTAACTCCTCTTCAGTGTTTGAGACATTTTTCCCACACAGGAGTTCCTGCAAATTTGGCAAACTTTGGAGTCACACAGGAAACAAAACCATGTGTAATAGTGGCCTTATGTGAGAAGAATGTAAGACTTGATCAAACCCTTAATCTGCTGGATGTTCTATGTTTGCAGTCTTTAGCTTGTTTTTTGCCAATCTTTATCTCTGACTGGATGTTTCTAACTATTATTGATCTTTAAAATAGTCTACCTTCCTCCAAGCATGCTTGAAGGTTCCTGATACTTTCAAAATGAATGTTCCTAAAAAGCTGGTTGGTGATTTTTTTGTGCTGATCACTCGATCTCAGAGCTCATTGGCTGTTTATATATAATGACCATAGCCTGGCGATGGTTTAGTCGTTGAGGCAACCGCAAATATTGCAGGGTTTCTTTTGTAGCCAGTAGGTAACAGTGTAACCAGAGAGAGTGTAGAGTCTGTTGTCTCTCAACCAGAAGGTCGGGGTTGGATCTCCAGCTCCTGCAGCAACATGTCCGATGTGTCCTTGAGCGAGACACTTAACCCCAAATTGCTACCTCTGCTTTGTCAGTGGTGTATGAATAGGTACAGATGGGATTAGTTACTTCTGATGGACACTTTAAATAGCAGCCTCTGTATGTGAATGTGTAGGTGTGACCTGCGGGGGAAAAGCACTTTGAGTAATCAGAAGACTAGAGAAGGCCTTTACACGCTCAAATCCTTTTACTATTGGTTAATACTAATTGGACTGCATGGAAACGACAATGCTTCATGCTGCCATAGATCGTGCTCCTTCTCTACCCACTCTGGATTCAGATATCTGTCCATAGAGATTGTTGATCACTCAACCAAGAGACCTTCATGTCCATTCAAGTCTCAGAATTGCAATAACCTGACCTCGTTAGTGCAGACAATAAATGAGACTTTCACTCTCTTAAAATAACTGCTGCGACGTGACAACCTAGACTGCAGAGAACAAACCACAGTTTGCTGATTTAAGTGTTCAAAAACATTTTCCTTCAAGGACTATCGTGATGTAGAAGTGCAGCTTTGAAATGATTCCATCCGTCACAATCAATATCTATTCAGTTCATTAACAAAATGCAGCAAATCTAAAGAATACAATGCAAGTAGAAATGAGTCACACCTAACACTACAATTTATCAAGGTTCTTACATTAACGATACAAGATTTTAAATTGTATTTCCATTTAGTTTCTCATCCTGGCTGAAGATATTTACAAAGCACAGCTCAGTAATCCCAAGTGACAGACCAATGGGATTTTCTCTCAGACCTGATTCATTCAGTATATTGAATAGCAGCTAATTGAATGCACACTAATCTAATCAGACAGACGTGCTAACAAAACCCGAACAAGCTTCCAGTGGACGTTTCTGTGCTGCTGATTTGAAAGATGTTCACCAGGGAAATATGTTGCTAGATGTGTTTTATTTTCCTGAAACATTTCCTGGCAGCCCTGTCTGTGCCCGCTGTGAGCTCTAAAACATTTCCTGTGTTGTATTTCATGGAGACTCAGAGCCAGAACGAAGCTAAAACTTCAAATAAAAGCCCATCCCGGTTTTGCCATACATTTTTTGTCAAATAAAGATAGGTTTCAATTCGAGGCCTCTTTTGAAAAGTCAGTATGACACAAAAAATAAAGATGAACTACAACATCTGTCAAAAAAAGAGAAAAGAGTAATGCTCTTTGCAGGACATGAAGCAGGTTTGCTTGTCGTATTGACGCATGTCCCAAATAAAGGCAGGGTCATTGAAGTAAGTTAAAGCTTGGGTAATTCACAAGAGTTTTACGGTGAGTAAATAAATACAAACTAAAATGTGCCTCCTCCTAAAATAGGGCTGTATACTCACTCATCAATGCCTTCAACCAGCCTGAAGTTCAGGTTGTCATCGGATTGCTCCGGCCGGCCGGCGTTATCGATGAACACCAGTCTGGAAGGATCGGCCTTCCTCACCTGAAGACACACACACATAACAAGTCGTTCCTTTTCCATTTCTTTAACAAAGCCTTCAATCAAATCCTCCAAGCATGGATCAGTAAACTTGTCCTCTGACTGAGAAGACTTTGATAAAACCAAACTGTCGGTCAAGTTCACGTAACACGAGTTCAGAATGTGATCCGTACCAGGATGTGAACCAGCAGCAGGTCCTTGGTGTTTGCACACTTGTCGTGCAGAAGGTTCTCCACACACAGCTCCGTGGGATCAGGCGTGAAACCACAGCAGTACCTGTCCAGCCGGTCATTCACCTGAAATAATACACATACAGACACAGTCATTACCTTTCTACTGTGAGGTGCACTGCAAAAACTGAAACTGTTAAATATATAATTTCAAGCCAATATTTGCATATTTCTTCAAAGCAGGCAGCTTTTATGTTTGAACAATTAAACTGTTTATGCTTCTCAGCGCTCAATTATCCAAATAAAATCTGAAAACATAATACTGAGATTGTACTAAAGGCAGGTTCTAAGTAAACATACACAAATGATAAGGATATGTGTGTTGATGCTAATCATAGTAGCCACAGTTGCATGTTTTTGTTTTTGTTTTCAGCTTCTGATTGGACTGATTCTGACATGTAGAAACAAGCAGGAGGCGTTGGCTCATCACCTCCTCAAAGATCTGATTCTGCCTCTCAGTCTGTCAGTCTGCAAAACGTTGTCAGGTAAAATCCACTCTGACAACTCGCGCTCAGGTTAACACAAAATCACATGTCAAATGAAGCCAACAAACATAGTTTTAATGACTTTGGATGAACTGACATCTTTACAGGATTCATCGTCTGATTCACCTCCAGATATGAACACACACTTTGTTAATGTGCAGCCAAAAATATAAAAATAATGAGTGAGGATTTAAACGACTCAGGGCATGCCTGTGCCGGGGGAAATTCCAGTCGACATGACATCTGTTTAAGAGATTCTTCATATTGATTCATCAGCATTACATTCCTGCTGCTTTAACTTCACTTAAAAATGAATTCACAGACTGAAACCCACTTGATCTGTCTAAGCGTAGAAAGTACGTACAAAGTAAAATGAAAGTTGGTGTGATATCCCCATTGGGTTGAAACTCATTGACGGCATAATTAAAATGTCACAAACTCACTCTTCAACTTTAGTAACTCGCAATGAGCTGAAGCTGAGGCAGGTCTAAAGCCCCGTGAACAAGCGGCTACCGCCGGTGTAAAAAAAAAAGTAGCCAATGAGGAAATCCAAAAAACTGCAAATCCTCGAGTGTCCACTTGATGCTGGCTCCAGAAGACCCAGAAGTCATGAGCACCACAAAATGACATTTCCATTTTGTCAGCAGAAATTAACATGTTTAAGCCTGGTACCAAAAAAACTTCTGTCTTTATCAAGTCTTAAAGAGTCCCTCTGCACCTTTAAGAAAAAGCTAAAGACCCAGCTCTTTCATGAATACCTACTAACTTAATGATGATGGTCTCCATATTATTGATGATGATGATGGTAATGACGATGTTTTTTGTCTGATAACGATGACTTACAAGATGGTTTCTATACTGATTAGAGCTCTCAAGAACTGCCCTCAATGTTGTGCTTTGCCTCTGGTCACTTCCTGTCAGCACCTGTGTGTCCAATCAGACTCAAAGCTGATCGTTTGCTCTTACTGACATTGTTCCTTTTTTTCTAGATCCTTGCTTGTGTTGTTCTTACTCTCTGATGTACATCGCTTTGGATAAAAGCGTCTGCTAAGTGAATTGTAGAATTGTAGAATCATCGCTTTCATCAATCGTTCGTTACTAATCAGTTTTGATTGCATAAGAGATTGATGATGCATAAGAGTCAGGGGCGGGACTGATGGGTGGGCGACTAGGACGTACATCTCAGTCCGCTGCCAAAGTTGCGTAGTGCTGTAAACAGGTGACCGAGGCACTCTGGAAATGGGATGGATGCCATTCTCCCTGCTGAACCATGGCGGTAAGACTGTTGTGATCGATAGCTGCAAAGAAAGAGCTCCTAACCCCTAACCCATTCTGCACCATATGAGAGTATCTCTTCAGTGTGAGAGCTGTGATTTTCTCTCTGCTGTTAGAGTGTGAAACCGACACAGCGAGAAGCAAACACACACACTTGATGAGATCTGCCCTCAGGTCCACTGCAGGGTTTTGTTGTGTTTGCTCAACCTCTGCGAATATGCAGAATGTGTGTTTTGTGTGTCTTTTTAACAAGTCTGTGCTACTCGCCCAACCTCGCGCCCTTGGTTCAGCGGTGCATGTGTGTGATAAAGAAGTTGTTTGTGTGTTTTATTGTGCAGCACTGTATTCCTCTCACTTGTGTGGTGCTCTGAGGAGACTTCTCACCCTGCTGCCATTTCTTTCCATCCCACACTGGAGAACACAGATTTTTGAGTTTGGTCCAGCACCCTTGTGGAGACTGAGCCAATATTGACTTACATTGCCACTGAACAGCAGCAGGCCGCGGGGAAAGACGAGATGGGGTGCTCTGCTGTGGTCAGAGTCAACACAAAATTAAAGAGGAACAGACTGTGAAGTGGATGTGTCGAGGCTGATTCACAACACATTTTGCCTCCCAGCCTCCATATTCAGCACAACAATGGATGATTGGATGTTCAAACAAGTCTCTCTCATCTCATTCCTAACTTTCCCACATGGTCTGCATGCACACGTTGTCCTTCATTAACATTTATGTGTTTCTTTTCTCCTTGCTTCTATGTGTGCTGTGATGAGCTTGCTGCCGTGTCTCTTCACTGAACTTCTCAGTTTTCACGAGTCACTCAAACAGTGTGGGCAGCGTGTGCTGTCTTCATTTTGAAAGGTTTTTATTCTAATGAAATTTGACTGTGTGTGGGTGCTGCTCTTTTTCTCTCCTTCCAGCCTCTGGCTATTACACTCCCAGATTCAAAACTCAGTTCTTCATGGCACGTGCTTTAAGTTGTTACAGGTCGTCCGGGGGAAAAAACACGAATGCCTGCAGCAAATCTAGGCAACAATTAACAAAATGTTTCAATAAAAGCCCCCAAAAATCATCTCATAAGGAGCTGGAGGAGATTTCAGTTGAAAAATCGTCTCTGCAGCATGAAAACAGATATCAGGGAACTCAATGAACGCAGAATGAGTCGAACACCATTGCTTTCTCAAGAAATGTGCAGCTAGCATCTTTTGTTTATCTGCGCCTTTATCCCACAATGCAAAGCTCCAATGTATTAGAGGAGCTCTACATACCAGACGAGAAAATACTAAATGTTTGGCGAAAAAAAAGTGTTTTCAGTTTCTCTGGGTGCGGTGAAAATGCCAGTGGTGTTCCAGACAATATCTAAACACCAGCTAAAAGAAGGAAAGATGACAACATGTGGTTAGCTGAAGGGTAACGTGCTGCATTATTTATTGCGCTGGGTAAAAAGACTCTGCATGGTCACTAAGGAACCTGAACGTTTCCTTATAAAAATTCATAAATTGTGTTTTTCCCCCTTCAGTTTTGTACAGATAAAAAATGCACTTATTACAGTACCAATAAATGATCTACTTCCATATAGCCATATGCACAATAATGCCCACAAGTGGAAGACCTTTCATAAGTGACTCCATTTCAAAGGCCTCATGAAAAAACAGAATGATCTTTCTGTTGTTAGTCCCTTAAAACATGTTGATGTAAAGTCTGGGAATCATCTAATATACTGTTAGCAGAGCCTCAGTCTCTGAGTGTTGTTTGACCGTGATCACATTTTTACTGATTTAATCGGAGTACGCCACAAACATGCTGAGCCAACGGAGCTCAGGTCGATTCTCCCTCACAGCGCTGACAGCGACTGCTAGGTAGCAGCGTGAAGCAGATTGCCTGTAATTCTGAAAGCCTGCACCAAAATCGTAACCTCATCCTCCTTTTCCACCATCCTCTCCAGGGTGTCCTCCTCTGACGCTGTCTGTGTGTGTCTGTCTGTGTGTGTCTGTGTGTGGGTGTATACATTGTGTGTGAATGAGTGAAGGTGTGTCCTTCACACTGCTCTTCCTGTGCTTTGGTGTTTGGTTTCCTGCTATCGGAGCCCAGGGAGGTGTTAAGGGAGCAGGTAGGAACAAGTGTTCAGAGGCGTGCTCATCGGCTCTCAGCAGATCAATAGGAGGCTATTAGAGCTTGGCCCTGTTACAGGGATTGACTTCTGGCAGCGAGGGGGAGAGAGCTGCCTCATGGGTTATTCATATACAGCCCCACACACACACACACACACACACACACACACACACACTGTAGATGGGTGTTAGATACACGTTCAATCTTAGTGTGCGGACAGAACATAGCAGGACAAAAGTTGCTCCTGGGGGTTGTAAAATCAGCGACATTGTGCAGCCTCTGCAGCGTAAGCGGAGGGCGAGAGAGGACAATGACCAACTGAAATGTTCAATAATACTACTGCTGCAAAGCTGAACCTGATACAAACACATGTGGATGTGGATGTGATTATGTAGGGGAGCTACACTAAATACATGAATACTGCTAATAGACTATATATTCAGATTAGAGTGAAGCCAGAATATTCATGGAGGTCATGACCTGGTTTATGATCATCATTTTCAGTCAAACTCTTGATTCTGTCCTGATAGTAGGTTCTTATCATGCTGATTTATGTCCGAGGTTTTGGGGCCCCTGTGTCCATTGATAGCTTCTTTTGTGCAGGCACCACTTACAACCTCAATTTCAGAGCGCTTCTCACCAGCGTTTACTGTTGCTAGGTTACTGAAGTTGGCTCACAGCACTTCAACTTCCCTCTGTTTTCAATTGCTCTGTATGCTTATTATCTGTTTATATTTCAGGACATATCCCCAAGACAACATGAAAACAATGTCAAGGAGTCATTAGTCATCCAGGCATTAGCAGCAGCGCCACACCCGGACCTTGTACCCTCGAAAAGACCTGAGTGATCTTTGAAGCTTTATCAATTTCCATCTTGACTCTAAAGTATGTCAGTGCCTGTCGCAGGAGATTTTTTGGCTTAAACTTTGTACAAATGAAGCAGTCAGAGACACACTGTCCATATTTTTATATCGTACTGTCTATGAAACATACAAGGACTGAGGAGAAACACAGGTACACAATTAGATAACATTGTGAGCAGCAGTCATGCTTTACACACTCAAACAGAACATGATGATGACAATCACCATCTCATGTAGTTCCATATCAGTTCTTCTTGATAAGAAGGACCTCATTTCTTCTTAGATTGCAGAGTGGTGCAGTGGTTAGTGATGCTGCCTCACAGTGAGCAGGTT